TATATATATATATATATATATATATATATATATATATATATATATATATATATATATGATGACAAATTTCCGTTGTTTATTATTGTTGATATCATTTAATGAAAATGTTTTGTTGGTTTCTTCTGTGACATCCCGTTTTGTGGCGTGAAACTCTGATAATTGTTGATTTTAATTGCATTTATTTTATTTTGGGGAACAGGGTGTTACAAGCGGAGCCAGGCTATTACCGAGGCCGATACATTTGTTCCAGCAGAGTCTACAATTGAGGTACAACCTTCTTCATCACATGTCCAAGATACTCTTGTTCCTTTTCCTGCCGATGATGTTTATCCGGTTACACCTCTAGAGGGTGATGACCCACCACCGGAGGATGTTGGTGACGACGACGATGATGAGCCTGAGGGTTTTTCAGGGGGTCCCTCAAATATGTCTCTGCTAACAGTATACGCTGACCATACTGCCAGACATGTCTGGGATGAAGAGGTAACATTACTCAGATTGTTTCTTTTTTTCATTGCAAATTTATAATTTGTATCATTGTTTCTTATTAACATTATTTCTTATTTATGGAAATTTTCAGACTCGTCGTCCGCAGAAATTCTATAACCATGGGCGGAAGATATTAGCTTTGGATCAGCCACAAGAGGCTTGGTTCCAGAAAGCCCTTGCCGCCTCTGGTTTGAAGGACCTTTATGAGGTCGGTTACGACCTGATCCATAACGGGATACTGATGGGCTTTGCGGAGAGATGACACCCTGGGACGTCCACCTTCCATCTACCGCACGGCGAGATCACAAATATACTAGATGTCATCTCTTGTCTGTTATATATACCGATCAGGGGTATCCTCCTCCGTCACAGTAGGATGCAAGAGAGAGTTGGAGGAGAAGCTTGGGACTGATCCAATGGATGCGCTTGAGGAGGTGGATAAGACCAGAGGGGCTCATGTGAGGTTCTCTTTTCTGACATGTAGATTTGGTGAGGCGCTCGTTGCTACACGGCAGGCAGATGGTGATCCAACTGAGGTTGAGATACACAGGCAGCGTGTGCTGAGGTGTTATTTTCTATTTTTAGTCGGCACTCAGCTGTTTGTGGACACGAGATCCACATATACCGATGTCGCTTACCTCGAGTACTTTTTGGATTCCACACAGATCCATGAGTACAACTGGAGGACGGCTACACTGGCGTGCATGTATTTGAGGTTGGGAGAGGGATGCTTGTGGAAGACCAGGACTGTGGCAGGCAGTGTGTCACTACTTGTGATAACAATTTTATATCCTTCGACTTTTTTTATTTCTTTTCATTTTATATTCGTGATAATGCTTGATCCTGATATTTTTTATTTTCATTTCAGGCTTGGATATTCCAGCACTTTCCCATGATCGTCGGGTGAGGGAGTGTGTCTGATTACACAGAGCTGATGTCGCATGCCCGTGCCTTTCTCCCGCTTAGAGGGACCCAGGCGGTCGACAATTACAGAGTCTATCTCGATCGCTTGGCTGCTGATGACTTCCGCTACGACGTCTATACTGATCACCATGTTACGCGCCCGTTTGATAACATCTCAATATTCTCAAGATGGTTGGCATTCAATTCGACCATCACTTGCCCGAGTGCGTCATACGGCAGTTCAGGTACACACAGACGATACCCAGACACCCAGTTATCTATGATTCTCTTAACTTGACTCGTCTGCAGATAGTGAAGATCTATGTTGACTATCAGAGGCACATGGTACCGGACGAGGCTCGGGCGACCAGAGCGTCGAGAGATTGGAGCTGCGTTGATAGCTACATCTTGTGGTTCTTCACCGTCTCACACCCCTACATGGTTCCCACTGTAGAAGGATCACCGCCCAGACCAGCTCATTAGGAGATTTTAGAGGAGCAACAGTCTCAGTTGGACCACACTCAAGATGTCCTGCCTCGTTGTCGTCAGATAGTGGAGATGGAGCGGACAGACATTGACGTTGATTTCTTCCCTGAGAGGTCTAACCACAGGTGTATATTGGATGGGATGAGATCGGTGGCAGATGGGACACTTATGTACCGCAGACATCGCGCCAGGACGGATGAGATCGATGGTTGAAGTCGCAGACCGGACAGTCGAAGAGGCGGTAGAGGCAGAAGAGGTGGCAAAGACATAGACAGAGAAGAAGATGGAGAGGTGGGTCCAAAGATACAACTCCAAAAACAAGGGACATAAAAAAAAAGTGTGTTATGTGGCTAAGAGTATCAATGAAATCATTAAGAAATTCTCAAAACATAATCAAACAAATAGTCCATTTGTCCCCCTACAAGCCCAAACGATGCACAAATGCTCCAGCATGAATTTCATTGTGTGATCTACTTGAAAAAACAATTTGATCAATGTTTCACCAGCATCCATCTATACTGTATAAACACTTGTTTTCTGTTTAATTTAAATGGAATCTTAGCACATGCATAAGCATAATTACTGAGTTGTAGAAAATCTAATCTACCTTTTTATTTTGTCAGTAGCCTAGTGGCTGAAAAAATTTATTACCCTGTTAGTTAATATGATCAAAATATGTTGAAATATTCTGAAGCTTAAAGATTGATTAATGTTTTTGAGGCAATAACCGACCATTCTGCTGCGTTTACTTATAAGTTTCAAACAAAAAGCTTTGCCCCTTACTTCATTTATAATTAAACATCAATATCATTAACAAGGAAACAACTAGCCAAACTAAAATGGACACTAATTGAAATTACCTAGACATGATTTGAACAAAAGCTCAATTAACCGTGGAACTGATAAGTCGGGAGTTGTATTATCTAATTGTCACAAAAATGAAAGCATTGGTTGTGTATTACATTTACAGCTTTCTACTGATAACTGTTTTTCTCTCCATAAACATAAATGTATTAACAATAACAATTTTTGTTAATGAGATATCATCATAGAAAAGAGAAATTTGGTTCTACAATAGGGCCATATTGGCATGCCAGCTTAAATATGACGTAAATGACAAACCACTACGAGAAGGAAAGTGTCATTGCTTCAATGGATTAACTTGACATTAGAAATATATAAAAATAAAAAATAAAAAATAAAATAAAATAAAATAAATTGGCAGAAAAGAAACTACAAACAACAAGGGACAGGATTTGTGCAGAAATAACCAACAAAAGTTAACGTTCCTTACAGAAATTTGGCGTTCTTTGCAGAAATTGACTTTAAAATACTAAACAAATCACAAACTACAGTTGTAGATAGGCCATCCTTGCCCCTTCATCAATACAGGTAAGAATTATGGTGGTTGTAATGGTAGGTTATAAAGGTAGGTCTTATCTTGATTGTAAAGCTTTGTTAAACTGATTCTCACATGTTCCGATGAAAGACTTGATTGAAGGTAATTTGATGTAAGGTTGACGAATTCAACAAATTAATTAAGCTAAAAATTATTTACTTGGTACCTGAAAATGATTTAAGTGATGGGGATGGAGATGGTCGGCTGGTTTCTCCTATTTTCTCAACCCGTCAATTAAGAAAAACAAAACAAAATTAATAGAAAGAGAACAAATTGAACAATCTGCAGAAACAAATAAACCAACATACACACGGAAAAAAAATACATCTCAGACCAATGGATAATACAGATAATAAAACACATTAGGTCATAAAATGGAGCATACAAAGTGAGAGTGCTAAACCAGGTCATAACAGAGTGTACCAATGGATGCAGGGGGAATAAAAGTAAGATCTATAAGTCTACAATAGGTAACACTGCACTAAGTAAAACACAGAGAACATGACCTCAACTGGCAACAAACAGGAACAGGATCACCGACGACTGAGGCTTGAACAGTTTGCAGCAGTTCTGGTTGAGAGTGGTGTAGCTTTGGAGAGACAACTTCGATATGTGAGCTTGACCTCGACACGTTAAGATAAAGGATGATAGGGAATGGCGAACACATGGGCTGTCAGGGCTTGTGGTCGCTTAAAAGCTCCACTACTAAGTAGCCTAATACAAAAGCAGGCTTGGTGGTTATATTTGTGGGCTCAAAGGCATATTCACAAATCTAATTCTGAAGGCGCTAAGAGACATCACGAAAAAGCCACCCTTGCCCTAAAAGGCTCTTTCAAATATTGTAAGGTAACGTCAGTTTTCTAGAAGGTGCAGCTTATATCTCAATAAAATGTCTCAAATAAATCTATTGTTTACAAGTCTTGAACAAACTATTAGAAATTAATTATGAAGCTATCTAACCGTCAAATATATTCTATCACCATCTGCCACCACGAAGGCCGAGAGCTGGCATTGCTGCTCTCCTATTTCATGTCCTTCACAGTTTATCATCCAATGTCACATTGAAGTACAAGTGTACCCACACAGGAGTTTTGATCAATTTACACAGGTAGTGCACAACCCATGAAAACACAATCTTACTAAATTAATCATATCTGTTCTTGGAAAAAAAAATAGTTACTAGATTTATTAAACTAATGTTACTAACATTTCTTACAAGACACGTCCATAAATCTTTCAAAAACACCGTTGCTTTTATATGAAAACCAGTTATTAAAAAGGACGCGTATACTTGAAAGATAAGAGTTCAACTGAGGTTCCAATTTTGTAACTAATATACAAAACTTCAATATCCTCCCAGAACAAAACTTAATGATCATGACTTCAAATTTTCAAAAACAAATAAGTAAAATGAACAAAAAAATAGCACGAGTATGTTGAAAATTCGTATACCGGTAAAATGAGCAAAGTACACAACATTGAACTCTATAAGTAAGAAAATGTAAATACAATGGCATGTATACAGAGTTCAGAATCAGGTGAACAGCCACTTAGGAGATTTGGAATGTCAATGCATTTTTACAAATGAACAAATGGTAGATCTGTCAATGTCTCTAGCCTAATCAAGCATTTCCTCCAAACAAAGCCAAAGACAAACCTAAATCTACTAAATCAGAGTCTTCTCACCTCATCACTATCACCACCACTTCCCAAGACCGCGTCTCTATATCAAAACCTTGTTCCTGAAATTGCATCAATTGCGCGTTTACATTTCTCAAAATATCAAACCCTCAAACATTAGGATCAACTGGAAATAAAATTTTAAAAAAAAAAAAAAAACACATGAAATTGAAGAAAAATAATCGGAAATTTGGAAGAATTGAAAAAAGAAAGGGCACACCTACGTCTGTTTGGTGTAGGAGGAAGAGGAAGGAACGCGTTTGTTACGGAACATCATGTAACCAACCGGTAAAACAACTCCGATCATCATTACGGCGGCTCCGATTAGGTATCTGAGAGGAGTTGGAGGCTCCACCTCTATGAAGGTTCTAATCTGAATCAGAATGAGATTTCATTAGATCAAATATTTCGCAAGAAAAACCCTAAAATCATCTTCGTTTTAAGCAGATCTACTTACAGGCATGTCGAGGAACGTTTTCCACTGATTGTATTGTCGTTCGCTACACTCTCTTCAGTTATGGAAGTTTCTCCTCTGCACCTGATGATCAGGTTAAACGAAATTAGTTAAAGATTTAAAGGTTAAAGGCATTTTGTTACAAGTTATTTTAAGAAAAAATAAGTTTAGAATATTATATTATTAAATATATATAATATTAAGGACATTTTGTTACAAGTTTTTTTTTAAGAAAAAATAAGTTTAGAACATTATAGAATTTTAAAATAAAATAAAATGTTGGTTGAAATAGTTTTAAAAAATTAAATTATTTCATCTGTTTATTATAATTTTTTTGAAATACTAAAACTTAAAATTCTCGTATAAAATATCTCTGAGATGTATTATTTTAAAATAATAATATGATTTTTTTATCATTTTTAAAATTTCTAAGATTAAATATTTTAGTTATTGATGTCAAAAAAAATTAATAATAGGTATCTAAGTTATGTATGTCAAAATTAACTCTTTAATTTATAAGTAAAATATATTTTTTTATCTCTTAACTATTATTTTAAGTTCAAATTAGTTTCTTAATTTTTTTTTTTAGATTAGTTCCTTAACTTATAAAACGTTTTATGTTAGTCTTTTTTTGTTTAATTAACAACGAATTTAACGATTGATTTTTGAATTTTTTTCGCGCTAGTTAGATAAAAATGACTAACATGACACACTTTAAAAGTTAAGAGACCAGTCTGACACGAAAAAAAAATTAATCTGAATTCAAAAATATAATTAAGGGACCAAAAAATTATTTTGCCTTAATTTATAAATAATAAGTTTTTATT